CCCCTCAAAACGCACTAAAATAAAATACGCAGGAGAATATGCTGATAAATTAAGATGGAGCTACGCAGGACACAATGCCCGACTGAAGAATAAGAAATGGAACCACAAAATACAACAATGGAGACCATGATTAGGAAAGAGAAGCAGAGGAATATGAGATGGGCGGATTGATTTGAGTGAAACAGAAGACACTGGATTGATTTGGGGGAGGCCTATGTTCAAATTTGGATTACTTAAGCGCTTTGCATTGTAGAAAGCGAACGTCGTTTGTTATTAATTATTGTGAGTAAGTTAATTTTTTTCTTTACCTATAGAATAGGATCTTTGAAAAAATTGTTAAATACTTTTCTTATAGATACTTCCTGAATTTTACTCGCCAAATAGTAAATACGTTTATTCTTTTAACTTGTTAGCTTCTATATTGTCCAATATTAGTACTACCACTATTTTACATCTGATTACAATTTCGAATATATCAAAATATGTAATAACATAATTTAATGACAATAAGGCTTTGGAATTTATAGAGAGAAAAATACTGCATATTTCAGTTTCTTTTTTAACAATATGATTTATGATGTATGACAATATGATCATTTATTATATACTCAATTATTTTGTCAAAGCATGCACAAGAAATTACTTAGTAACCAATTTTCTGCTCAGTTTCTGTAAACTATATACAGGGTGTTTCACGACGAGCTTACACTACCTATATATCGGAAAATACTTACACGGTAATTATGAATATTTATCTATGGTAACTACTATGGTAACTATGGGTAATGAAAAAAATGCTACGGTAGAATCGAGATTATCTTTTAGTATATGGATCTTTGTGCTTTTCTCCGTGTCGCTCTTAGCTTGTGTAGAGGAGGGACGCTGAATTTAGTAGGGGTCCTTCAGTACTTTGTGCAAGACACACTAGGTGGGGAAGTCCTCAACCCCGACACGGCGCGTCCCAATGGCTGATAGGAAATGTTCCTGTAGATATGCAGGACGGGTATGAAGAAGGCCTCGCCAAATAAGTATTCGCGGATCAACGGAGAACATGACACAAGTCAGCAGCTGTGTCATTAGTGGCCCGTGGCTAAGGAATACAATTCCTGACAGGTGCGGTACCACAAAGTCACAGACGAAAATCAAATACTGATTTAACCGGCTTCGCGAACACTCACCAACCCGTCCGGCAAGCGTGGTGTTTTAATGTCAATATACCCTCAAAACGCACTAAAATAAAATACGCAGGAGAATATGCTGATAAATTAAGATGGAGCTACGCAGGACACAATGCCCGACTGAAGAATAAGAAATGGAACCACAAAATACAACAATGGAGACCATGATTAGGAAAGAGAAGCAGAGGAATATGAGATGGGCAGGATTGATTTGAGTGAAACAGAAGACACTCGATTGATTTGGGGAGGCCTATGTTCAAATTTGGATTACTTAAGGCTGCTTTGCATATTGTAGAAAGCGAAACCGGTCGTCTGATAGTTAAATTAAATTGATTGTGAGTAAGTCTAATTTATTATTTCTTTACCTATAAGAATATGGATCTTTGAAAAAATTGTTAAATACTTTTCTTATAGATACTTCCTGAATTTTACTCGCCAAATAGTAAATACGTTTATTCTTTTAACTTGTTAGCTTCTATATTGTCCAATATTAGTACTACCACTATTTTACATCTGATTACAATTTCGAATATATCAAAATATGTAATGACATAATTTAATGACAATAAGGCTTTGGAATTTATAGAGAGAAAAATACTGCATATTTCAGTTTCTTTTTTAACAATATGATTTATGATGTATGACAATATGATCATTTATTATATACTCAATTATTTTGTCAAAGCATGCACAAGAAATTACTTAAGTAACCAATTTTCTGCTCAGTTTCTGTAAACTATATACAGGGTGTTTCACGACGAGCTTACACTACCTATATATCGGAAAATACTTACACGGTAATTATGAATATTTATATATGGTAACTACTTAGGACAAACTTAAAGAAAATATATTGACATGTCACTTCCGGTTATACCGCAATTAAATAAAAACTCTGGTATTTTAAATGGAACACCCATTATATTATTGCATTTTAGATTTTACGTAAAATTCTAGACAAAATTTGTATAAAGTGCAGCTGGTTCCTAAAAAAACTAATAAGACTCTCAGTAAGATTTGATCATTTTGAGCAGTGTATTTGATGTGCAAAGTGTACGAACTCTTTACATAATATCCAGTTAAATTAGCATTAAAGTCAGCAAATTGCAATTATTTGTTATTGTTGTCAATAAACAAATCTAGTTTTACCAGCAAAATAACCGCTTTTAGTAAAGACCGATATACCTGTTTTAGCAGGTGCACAGGGTCGGACTTACTTTTCACCTAACGTTAATGAAAATGAATTCAAACATGGAATCACACAACAGTTCTACAATACAAGACGATCAAAGTCAAATAAACGCATCACAGTCATACTCTTTGACAGCGTCGAGAGTGCAATTTCCTTTAAAGTCCCAAGCAATTATCTTTAGTGCCTTAGAAAACACCAACTTCAAGACTACCTTCTCCCACTTGGAAATATAATTCAACCGAAAATATAATCTCTTCTAGATTATCTAATAATCGCATATGCATGTATTTATCCAATAAACAAATAGTGGATGATTTTATGAATAATCATAGTCAAATAGAATACAACGTGAAATTGTCAGAGCAAGAAGTTAGTTACACCAGCGGAACGACTTGTGCTCTCCAGCGTATAGAATAGAATAGAAATATGCTTTATTGTCACTGAAAATTATTGAACAATTTTATGGACAAAGCTAAAAAATAAATCAGTCAAATAATACAAAAAGTATAAAAAAAAACAATATAGTAAAAAAACAGAATAACACAATTTTAAATTAGTAAAATTATTGTATAACCTACATAATTTGTACAGACAACAACAAATGAGACAAATTGTAGCCACTGCTTGAGACACCCAAAATGTAATTATAAACAATAGTAATTTTGTTTCTTTGTATACATTAAGAAAACTCGTCAACTGAATAATATGGTCTTTCTGAGAGATAGATTTTTGTCACCTTACGAAACTTAATGAAGGATGTTGCGGATTTAATTTCTCTTGGAAGGTGATTATAAAGTTTCTTTGCACGATATAGAATAGAATTCTTTACTAGCTGAGTGGACGGGATCGGCAAATAAACGTTACAATCCGAATTTCTAATGGAGTAGCCATGGTCAGGTCTTTCGGGAAAAATGTTTAGATGCTTTCGAATCAAACAAACCGTTTCCAAAATAAATAAAGAGGGAAGCGTCAAAATTCCGTGATTTTTGAAGTAGGTCTTGCAATGAGTTGTTTGTTTGAGACCAAATAGATAACGGATTGCTCTTTTTAATGTCTGTCCTTCAATACCGCACGACTTGCTCAATCAGTTACAAAAAATCGGTCAGTATCAGGAGGAGGTCAGTATTTTCTCCCTCCTGATACTGACAAAGAATGTAGTGCGTAGAATCTTTTAAGTAATTTCAACAATCTGTTTGTCCTTGTGTTTTGTACAATTTTATGTTATTACTCATGTTTTTCACATTCTACGCTTGCTGGATAGCTCATATTTGACGAAATGCCCCTGAAGATGCTATTTTAAGCGAAAGTACTTGGGCAACATTTAATTAAATAGCCTTATTTTTCAAAGTTCACTTACTCGAGCATTCAACCTTATATCAATTAAATGTTCAATTGTTCACAAATTGTAATTAATTGTTACAATGATTGATTGTAACAAATGTTAAATTTAATATTATTTCAAATGCTACAGGAATGTCGCTAATAACCTTTGTGTGGATGCGACTCTGTCACTTAAATTTGCTGCAGTTCGGTACTAATACGGGATGCTTTAATTATGTGCCAAGTTGTTGTCTTTTTTCCCGGAAATTGGACAAATTCTTGCAGTTTTCGCAGCTTCAAAAAATTCTCTTCTAATCTCTCTAAAAACGTACGATCTTCATGAGTGGTAGATATTTTTGATATTCCAGAACCTTGCTTTCTTTCGACGGTTTCTTGTTCTCTCTACCTTTTATTAATATAAAACTGTTGTTCTCCTTACATTAAATGGTTCGCTACGACAGATAGTGACCAACCATCTTTTAATTTCGCTACAACAGAATAATTTATCTGACAAATTTCTATATCTGTATCTGACAAAGTATTTTTCTCCTTCAAAATACCTGCTCAATTTTCTCCAAAATACGCTTTAAGAGTAGTATCAGTTTTTTTAAGAACCAGCCTGTACCATAGGTCAAAACTTAATACTTCTCAAAAAGTTATTCATCCTTTTCAGAAATTTTGACAAATAAAGACAATTTATATATTTATATAACAAATAAGTTAATAGTTCATCCTTTACCAACATAATGTCTTGTAAACCTTTGCACACAAAGAGTAGGTAACAAACTTTTAGGAAATTTGACCATAATTGAATTTCTAAATTGTAGGAGTTCACAATAGAATTTCTTTTAACTTCAAACCACAGTGCACAATTTTAAATGAAACACCCTGTATCTTTTAATTTTATCGGAAAAGAAGGCAATTCAAGAAGTCTTTCAAATATTATTAGGGTTGACTTATACCTAAAGTTAATTTTTTGAAATAATTGTGGTTTAATGTTAAAGGTAAGATATTTTTTGTTTTATTTATTATTAATAACGTTTTTGAACATGTTCTCCTCTTCTGATATATTTATCAAATAATACTAATGTTCTTAATTTTTTTTAAACAATTACAATTCCTTTAATTTTATGATAAGTAGAATCAGTACAGAGAAATATGCAATATCTATTTCTGAATTTATTGAACAATTTAGTAAATAATTTGCCTTTTGTATTCCTCAGAATCTATTAAATGAATATAAGCTTTTTCCATAAACATTCTTTAATATTCTACATACACCTCAATCGATAAATAATGGGAACACTCACCTGGAACACTTGATTTCCGCTAAGTTGATAGTTTGTAGGTACCAAAACTGACCCTCCAGACATTGTTTGTTGCTTAAAGAGCATACCTGGTGGTCGTATCATTGCTCCCTGAGATTTGATATTGATATTTGGACCTAACGTCGGCCGTCCTCTACCCCTGATAAAAAAAAAAATAAAAATTTAATGTAATGAAAGAATGAACTATTGAAATACATATTTTCCAGAATTAAAGGCATAATACCTATGGCAATGGGTATTATCACAAAACTTTTTTTAAGATCATTGGAAAATTAATAAGTAGAACCGATATTTAATATTATTCTACCCTTCTCAGGCGAGAATTAGTTTTGGGTCTCCTTTTATCAACTTTTTTCTCTCCATTCTTATATATTAGCCCCTTTTCTATATTTCTATTAAATTATCACATGGGTGTCCTCTTCCTTTTTCTCTTTTATTTTCGGATCATTACTTCCATATATAGGGTTGGATATCCAAGAATCTTCTTCTTTACGTGCCATCTCTGCGATGGAGGTTGGCAGTCATCATGGCTATTCTGATCTTAGATGCTGCTGCTCTGAATAGTAGTTTGATTGATGTGCATCCGTACCATTCCCTCAAGATACTCAACCATGAGAGTGTTCTCCTTCCTACACTTCTATTGCCCTAGATTTTCCCTTGTATAATTAATTGAAGTATGTTGTATCTTTCATTACGCATAACATGCCCCATGCATTGCAACTTTCTTGTCTTGATGGCTCCGAATATGTCCATTCTTTTGTTGACGCTTTCTCATTGTATGAGAACTTTGATTTCTTTGGAGAAATCATTTGGAATAATCGTGTGTAATATACAGCCGCCTGGAATCGTTTTCGGAGATGGTTAGTTTTTGGTCTGATGCCACCAATGTGGTATCTTAAAACCATGAACATCAGGCAGTGGTGAAAGAAAGTATCCGACAGGGCAGAATGGCAGAAGAACATTGTTAAGCAGGTCAATACTCACAAAGGGTTGTAACGCCATTAGAAGAAGAAGAATCGTTTGTGTCATTAATTATTGTACCAAGATAATTATAATTTTCAACTTGTTTTAAAGTTTTACCGTTAATTGTCATGCTTTCATCATTATTTTGGGTTTTTGATATCCTCATAAATTTAGTTTTATTGTAATCCATATCAAGACTAATTCTTGAACAGGCCAAGACACCCCCCCCCCCCCAAGCGTTGTAGAGTCAAAGAGGATGATGATGTTAAATAGTTAAATAGCTCAGTACGCGGCCCTGTCTCACCCCACTTTTAATTTGGAACAGCTATTGTTAGTGTGTTTTCAAATTGTATTGTTACTAGATAATGTTCATGTAAGTACCGAATGATTTTTAGATCTTCACGATCTTATCTTTTTCTTACTAGAATATTTAATAACGCACTATGTTATAGTCAAATGCTTTAGTGTAATCTATGAAGCATAGATTTACTTATTTCTGCTGATCTCGGCACTTTTGCAGCAGGACTGACAAAGTAAACAAAGCATCTCGAAATGATTTAGTGTATTTTTAATGGATATATAGCAGAAAATGTATATTAATATGGATGCTATTGATATACTGTATATAAACGTACAAGAAATAGCGGCGTCGCCGTACTATGTTTGACTTTATAATAATAAATCATAATTTGTCCATATTGATCAGAAGGAAAACAGGAGCATAAGTTTAAATGTGTCACTACATACGTTTTGACGTGCAAGTCCCATTTGAAAACAATTACTCACCTGTTGATGGCGCTCTGAGTACTCTGTAACTGCATCTTCGACAGGAACTGGTACTGGGTATTCTTAGACAAGGCCTGATAAGCTGCAGCTGTAGCGTTCAAACCTTGCTGTCTCATTTTAGGCACTCTTGGTATCTTCGCTGGGGGTTCCCAATCTACTGGCGGATCTAGATTCCTTTCAGGTTTGAATTTTCTCATACAGGTCACCAGATGCCGCGACAGTTTACCTTTTGACAGAAAATATATATTAATATAATAATAGGCAAGTAGAGCAGCAGTATTTTGGTACCTTTTAACGAAAACAAGGATAATATACAACAATACATAAAGCATCTAGATAGTATTACTCTTTTATTATTACTAATTACTATTCATATATGTAGTTAACTTGTAGTTCCACAGTATAAGACCAAGACGTAAAGGTTAAATATATTTTTCTTATTATATTAATCTTACCTTTTTGGTTGTCCTCAAATGGACAATTGGGACATTGATGGAACGCAGGAGCCCTCTCTAAATGACCCCGTACAGCGTGTTCTGCTTCCATGTGAAACAGAATATCATGTGGGCTTCTCACTTCATATGCACAGAAATTACACTTATAAACAAAGTTCTTCATATGAGGGGTTTCCAAGTGATACGACATAGCCAGCGCCGATTCTGTCTTGAAGTTACAAAATTCACATTTTTTCAATACAGTCTTGAAATGTTCGTTATTTTCTTTACTGTATGCCAGGTTCTTGACCAAGGATTTTATTGTCTTTTCTGTTTCTGGATTTGAACCACCTTAAAAATAAAAAATAATGTGTATAGAATGAACATGATAAAAAAGAAGTGAAAAATTAACAATTAGAACAATAAAACTAAAAATACACTGTGCTTTTTCAAAACAAAATGTCTTGTGAAGCCAACTTTTATAATTTGTTGCTTTTTACCACTGTGCCTTCTAAAACTTGCAAAGCAGACAGATTGATAAATTAGTCGGCAAGGAAATCTATAATTTCCATTAATTAAATTTAATACCATCTTTCTGAATTACTGAAACTTTGCAATGAAGGGACAGGGCACATCACAAGGACTGTGACGAAGGATATTTTTAATGAGCAACCAGATCACATGACAACAAAATTCAATTTTTTTTTAACCTATTCTCTATCCTTCTATTGTTGGATATAGGTCTCCCCCAGTTCTCTCAATCTTTCCCTATCTTGAGCTGTTCTCTGCCTCTTAATCTCTTTGCATTGTATGGACGCCACTTTCCGATGGCATTGTTCCATCGTCCGTCTTGGAGACGTTCATTGTGTCCAGCCCATTTCCATTTCAGTTTTGCTGCTTGTTCTATCGCGTCTACTGTCTTTGTTCTGGTTCTGATCCACTGGTCACGTTTTCTATCTCTAAGTGATACACCCAACATTTGTCTCTCCATCGCTCTTTGTGCCTTCCTTATCCTATCCAAATTGGCCTGTGTAAATGTCCATGTCTGTGCTCCGTAGGTGAGCACCGGTATTATACAGGAGTTATATACCTAGCTTCGTAAGTATAGAGGGATTGTTTGATTTTTTAGAATGTTAGAAAGTTTGCTGAATGCTGCCCATCCCATTCTTACTCGTCTCGATATTTCGGCTGTTTGTAAGGCCAATCTACGCCCCTCTTATGACAGATTATGACAGATAAGAATTCATATACAGTGTCTATTCCAGATAGGAACGTATGGAGAAACAAGGAGAACCATAACTAACAGGGTAGGATCTGGTATGCAGATAGATCGAAAACTACAGAGTGTGTAAGAGCAGTAATATACTCCAATAATCCAAGAATAAGCGAAAGATGTGCCTCCGTAGTATACTAGCGATACGTATATTGATTATGGAGTAGGACTTTGGCCTACCTACCTAATGGGCCCCTAACAAATTCAAAAGAAATAAAAAAATAAAAAAGCAAGCTCAAGGCGTTTTCGATTTAAAAAAAGACTGAAAATCAGAACCCCCTACATAAAGTGAAAAGAATTTTAGCGAAAAAACGATCAAATATTCAGGCAAGCTATAGTTTTTAGATTATTAAAATAATCATATATATCATCAATATAAATATCAAAAAAATAAATCTGAATCACAAGTAGACATAACGGGCATATCTGTGCTCATGGTAATTACAAAAAATGCACTTCAAAAGTTGACTCCACCTGAAGAACAAAGTTATAAAATCAATCCAAAAACTATAGCTATTTGGGGACAAGCATAAATGAAACAAGTGACTATTCAAGGAAAATAAGAATAAAAATCAAAAACCCATGAAACCATGAAACAAATACTATGTAGCAGAGATCTAAGCCTGAAATTAAGAGTATGAATTCTGTGGTGTTGTCTCTCCGGTTCTTTTGTATAGTGCAGAGTCATCTCTTAATAAACGCTGCCTGAATGCATTGGAAGCTTTTAAAATGTGGAGATACTATACAATTTTAAAAATATTTTGGACAGATAGAGTCTCCAAGGAAGAAAATAAACAAAGACAATGAAATATTTATACCGTCAAAGTGAAAAAACTTTCAATATTTGGGACACATAACCCGTGATGAAAAAACTAACATTATGCAGTTGATAATGCAGGGAAAGATTCAAGATAAACGCAGCATAGGACGAAGAATTTCCTGGTTGGGAAATCTCATAGAATGATTCGAATGCAATTCAATACAATTGTTCAATGCAGTGACCTCAAAGATAAGGATAGCAATATTTATAGATAATTTTTATAAATATTAAATGCATCTTTAAAAAAATGGTTTGTCACATAACTATTTGACCGAAGCACTTCCAAACACAAAGTGGTGAACAAAAAGACCACCAACATACTTCAATTTGTAATTCTAGTGTTATGAGAGGTCTGTATGGCACAGGTTGATACCAAAATAAGAGAAAGGTAAGATATATGTGGTGCAATACCAAACTAATCATCCAATACAAATAATAGTTGTGTTAATAAGTAAAAAGAAATAGGATAGTCAATAAGTATGATGGGAGACAATTAAACGATAAAAGGGATATGTATAAGACCTAACATGCGAACATGTGGAGAAATGTAATTAGGGAAGTCTACCGCATATAAAGAGATACAAAGATTGATGATAATGAATAAATACACAATAATTACTTACCTTCTCTACTATGTTTTCGTTTCTGCTGTTTCAACAGATCAGTTTGTACATATTCTTGAACTAAATTAAAGCCTATATTTATGAAGAATTTACCAAGAGGACTATCAAAGTATGAATAAGGCTTCTTGGCGTCCTCCAACTCCTTTTTAGATTCAGGAACGAAATTTGGATCAGACTTATCCTGTAAATACAAAAAAGAAACTTTAATAACAATAATTAATCAACGATATGTATATCAAGTTAGATGCTTTTTCTAAGTATGTTAACTAGTCTGTGATTTCATTATTCAATTGTGAAAATGGTATGAGTGACTTTTACATCAATTATTAGTCACAATCTTTGTTTGCATTACTACTGAATACTGGTACATGTAACTTTTGAAGTAGTGGTACCCTTATGATTTTACAATGTTACAATCTCTTCAGCGTTTTGAGCAAATTTTAGTTTTACCAATTATTGCCAGTGGTGGCAATCACTGGTTCTAAAGTGGTAATCATAGGATACATTAATATTTGGTATTACAAGTATTTTGTTCATTCCAGAAATGACATCTAAAAGTAATTGTTCTAAATAAACAAAAGAACCCAATTGTGTTTTCAATGCCGATGAGAGTGCATTTTATTTATCACCTAAACAGGGAAAGGTTTTGGCTAAGAAAGGTGATAAAAATATTTACCGCTGTGCTGGAGATGACCAGGAAAATATACCAGTATTGGTAACAGCCAATGCTGCTGGAAAAATCGCCTCTCCAATGATGGTGTTGGCATATGAAAGAATTCCATCAGCTGTATCACAAAGTATTCCACAAGAATGGGCTTTAGAAACTTCAGATAATGGAGGATATGTTCTAGTACATTTTATGAATGCATCACCAATATATTTAATCCGTTGCTCATTAGAGAGAATATTAACAAACCTATTATATTTTTTGTTGATGGGCATGTTTCTCATCTAAAGTTACATTTGTCCAACTTTTGTAAAGAAAATGGAATAGAACTGGTAGCTTTGTATCCCAACTCAACCCATCTGCTACAGCTTATGGATATATCAGTGTTTAGGCCCTTAAAATTGGCATATAAAAATGAAGTCCAAAAGTAGAAAATGGAAAATGATGGCAAAAAACTTCGATGTTCTTTTGAAGAATGATGTTTTTGAAAAGGCACTAAATCATATAAATGAGGAAATTATTCGGAACGGATTTAAATCTTCAGGATTATGCCCATTTAATGTTGAAAATGTTCACTTTGAAAAAATTTGTGTAAAAAACATTAGTGCCAATTCCACAATTTCTGAAACATCTGAGTCTGTTAATAGTACATGTAAACAATCTCTACAAACACTTAAGTATTTTGAAGGAAAGCTGGGTGAAGAAACTGTAAATAGGTTCATAAACGAAAATCAGGATTGGAATGGTTCTATTGAGGATAAATCCCTTCTTAACATATGGAAAGAATGGATAATTGAAACCCTACCAATCCAAATTAAATGTAATACTATACAAAATAATATTTCTATATTTCCAACTCACTGTACACTAGTAAAAAATTTCTAACCAAACATCTCTGGTACTCATAGCTCAGATATATTGTCTGGAAATGAAAAGAGATTTATTAATACTGCTGAACCAAGTACATTACATGTACACTTGAAGAGTCCATGCAAAGTTCCTACTGCATTTAAGAAGCACTGTTTTGGCCAGACCCAAAACCTCAGACTAAAGAGAAAACTAAAGGAAAAGAATCCATCAATGGTAACATCGGAAGCTTGGTGTGAATATCACTTAAAGAAAGAAAATGAAAAGAAAAGAAAGAAAATTGCAAGAGAGCAAAAACGTCTATTGAAAGAGAAGCCAACACAGGATATTTCTTATGATGATGGAGAGGATGAGTGGGTCGAGAGTGGTAGCAGCTGTGATGATGTTAGAATTTTATGAAGTCCCTAACAAAAAATTTTGCCTCACGGAGAAATTAGTGTGGGAAACTATCTACTTGTGAAATTCTTAGGCGGTAAAAGAAAATCCATAACATATGTTTGTATTATTCAAGGCCTTATGGACAATAATGATGTACAAATAATGTCTATGAAAATATATTAGTGTTGAAAAGAATATTTTTATTTGTGATGAAAAAAACATCTCTTTTGTTAATGAAAATCGTATTTTAGGCATACTGTCAACACTTATTATTTTATCCACTGGCGAACGGATCCGATATGAATTTACTTTGCCAGTGGATGTATTTGAGGTCTAAAACCTGTGTATACAGTTCAATTTATTTTGAGAAGAGTGGTAACTTTATACGGATTAAATAAAAGCATAGTGTTCCAGGTAAAGAAGCATTGACAAAGTCACTGGCTAGTCTTGCTTCGGCTTCCATACAGAATCTCATATATACTGGGAGACCTTTGTCGGAGCTCTGTTCCCGTTCTGTGAACCTAGAATCTTGGTTGTACCTTTTTTCACCTTTAAAATGTGTTTGTATTTCATTATCAATGTAAGAATTAAAAATAATCCACCAAAAATGGAATCTACGCAAAATATACTTCGAAAATGGTCAGAGTCCTCTGTAAAGCAGAGACGAAATGGATAAGTGGTCTGAGTATTGCAGGCCTTTCCTTCCCTCTTGGTGATATCTTATCAACCAGCAAATATAAGATTTGCTGAAATGTATGTTATCAATGAACTGGTTTGTATGATTTTCAGTGAACATTTGAGTTTTGATGAGTTTTTAAGTTTCAGGTATAATATGGCGTTTGGATGAACAATTTAATGGAAGCTTACCATAATATATTGAGAACATTATGAATCCTCCTATGAAGAAAATATACCAAAAAAATACTTTGTTTTGAAATGCGATAATTTTTTTAAATGCCATTTAATAAACTTACCTCAGCTTTAGGTTTTTCACTTTCATCAACATCCATTTTCTCGTCCTCACCTCCATCTTCGCCCTTTTTAGATTCTGCCGCCTCGTCTTTTTCCTCCTTCTTTTTAATCTGGTGTTGGATCTCCTTAACGAAATCCTTAAAGTCTTTTACAGGTGGTTTTTCGTAAACATAAGGGACGATAAAAGAGGGCGCTTCGACTACAAACATATCGTCTGTCAAAGTTGGTAGTAGGGGAGTTGTTAGAGCAGGGGTGATCGTGGCGGGGGATAATTTCTGTTGGTGCTGAGACGACAGTGCAGACGAGTTCACAGGGATGGGCGTAATTGTCGCTCGCATGTTGGGTGGATACATCCCTTGCGCAGGAAGTGCCATGGGGAGTACAGTCTGATAACTGGGAGTGGCAGGGATTGAGTTCTGGGGCTGCTTATTATTTACAGGAACAGGTCCACGACCTGATAAAATAGAATTAGTATCTATAATAACTAACGTAGGTTCTTTTTTACCCTGAGAAACGCTAGTGCTACTACTACTACTAGTGTTAGATTTAGAGGCTATTTCTACTAGTCTTTTGGTATCGTTTACAACTATCGGCGGTGCTTTCTTCGTCGTAACTTTGGATTTATCTGACGGTATCCTCTCCACAGTAATTGCATCATTACACGCAAGCGGATCTTGCGGTAGGATCTCTTCAATGTCAGATTCTTCGGATTCGCCCTTGGATTCGACTGTGGCTGGTCGAGGAGCTTCCACTTCTGGTCGCACGGTCTTGTTGGACTGCTTTTCTTCTTCTTTGTCGGTTTCCGCATAGCTTTTGGTTTTGTTAAGGTTCCTTGAACTCCGCCTTCAACAGAAAGAAATTAACCGACAATTTTGAATAACAAATAAAATTAAAAAATTACAATGAACAGATTAGTCGGATATTCTCTACAGGTTTTATCAAATAGACCAGTGTCGAAGCCTTTATAAAAGGTAAAAAGTAAAAAAAGATATTAGTAGAATAAAACCTATTGGAAAAGGAAGGGAATATGCTAAAAATGGAAGAAAAAATAAATTCCACTCCATCCGAGGTCAGGAAGTGGGAGGGGGTGAGTTTTTAAGGGTAAAGATCGGTTTATCACGATTTTCGGCGAAACTACAAGTGCTATGGAATAAAGTTATATGGCAAAGTTGTAGGTAACAAAAAGATCTACAACTTTTGTATTTACACTTTTTTCACATAACCTCAAAATTTTTGTGGAAAATTCAAAAAACTACTTTTTGATATATTTTTCTTTTAGAAAAAAAATTTTTTTACGAAATTTGGTGGAAACTTGCCTTAGTATGTACCAAACACACTGTAATTTTTTTGAATTGAAAAATTTATTTTTTTACCTGATATTGATTTAATATCGAAAAAGCACCCTAATTTTCAATCGAAAATTCACGCGTCAAAATATCAGCTTTTTAAAAAAAAAGTCGGTGGGCTTTTTGTTCGTTGAAATCTCTACTTTCCGATAGTGTAAAAAAAATATAGATTACTATGTGAAATGTTCTCAAAAAACGCAAAAAACGAAGAAAACTCTAATCGAAATTTTTTGTATGTACAATTTTGAGATATTAATTAAAATTAACACTAATTACTCATTTTGCGTAAAATTTCATGATACATTGACAAATACAAAAATTATAAATTAAAATATTCCACTTAACAAACAATTAAGTTAATAATGTTTATATTTGATAAAATATCATCGCGTTACTGCATTGTTTTTCAAGTTGCCGTACAACATGTGGATTTGCCGGGAAAGGAAAGAAAAGTATCGTAAATTCATTATTAGACGCTAAAAATTTGTCAAGTTTGGTTGACATTTTTTATGAAAAAGATGTAAATAAACAAGATAAATAAAAATAAATAAATGTAAATAAAAATCAAATTATCTTTCGTATTGGCAAATCTCCCACCCACAGAAGGTGCAGCAGAACAAAATTGTTACAGGGCATATTATCAGCTTCAAACATGGCTGGGCAACGAACTGACAGCAACAGATTGGGGCTGTAAACAACATCAACGAGGCATTATGCCCAAATTTACAGAAAAAGAATTGGTCCCGAAAATATTGCTCAAAACTATTTGCTGCAGGTGTGAAACTGGATGTAACAATTTAAAATGTGGTTGCCGAAAACATGATTTGAAATGCACAAATTTATGTTCAAGTTGTCACGGCTCAGAATGCTCTAATGTGGAGAAAAAGCCTACGAAGAAATTAATGATAATGATTTTGATGACATTGTGGATAAGGAAGTAACGCAGACAGGAAACAATATTGGAGATGAAGACGGTAATGTTCTTGAAGATTTCGAAGATCTTCTAGAATCAGAAGGCGACGAAGGAATGTCATCAAACATCATACAATATATATCTATATATAAATATATATATATATATATAATATATATATATATATATATATATATATATATATATATATATATATTGTAAGATTGCCCATGACAAAAATGTAATTAAACATTAATAAACCAGCTTTTTAATTGTAAAAAAAAATCGTATAGTCAGTCACATTTTTTTGACGAAATTCCCTTTAAATCCTATCTTGAATATTTTTAACAGCTATTTTCACATGTCTTTTTGCAATCTTAATGTTTTGTGAATTTATAATTTTTTTTCTTTATCAATGTATCATGAAATTTTAAGCTACATGACTAATTACAGTATTAATTATAAAAAATATCTCAAAATTGTACATAATAATGAAAAAAAAGTTTTCGATTCGTTTTTTTTTTTGTTTTTTGCGTTTTTTTGAAAACATTTGCTATAGTAGTGTATATTTTTTTACACTATCGGAAAGTAGCGATTTGTACAAACAAAAAGCCCATCGACTTTTTTTTAAAAAGCTGATATTTTGACGCGTGAATTTTCGATTGAAAACGAGAAAGACAGAAATTTCAGACGGAAAGTTTTTCTAAAAAATTTCGTTACTAAATAAGGCTAAATAAAGACCTTCCGTCAAAGAGTTGATTATTATCTTTGAACACATTTTGTAGATGAACTGGATTATTGAGAGTAGGAGGTCGTCTTGGAAAGTCTGCTAGGAATTATGATTGGGAACATCCTTCACTAATAGATAAAACCTATGTTTTAAGAAAACTCATATTGAGTCATGAGCATGTGCAACTTCAGCACGCTGGTCCACAACTTTTGTTAGCGACCGTTCGTAAAAAATTTGGATAATTGCAGGGATGTCTCTACCTAAATGGGTTGTAAGAAATTGCGTTAGATGCTATCGGTTTAAACCAAAACCTTCTACGATTATGGTTTATTTGCCAGAACATCGTGTGTTAACATATCACAACCTTTTTTCATAACCGGATTGGATTACGCAGGGCCAATCACATTAAAAGATAGAAAAGGTAGCGGATGTAAAACTTTATGTTTATTTATTTACTTCGCACGAAAGCAATAGATTTAGAATTGATTAGTTCCCTATTGACATCTGAAGCTTTCATAGCAAGCCTTAGAAGATTTGATTTTAGGCGCGGTAAACCCGACCATCTGTACTCAGATAGCGGTAAAAGTTTTGTAAAAAGTTAATGCGGACTGATTCCCCGCGACAAATGAATCGGAAGAGCCCAAAGAGGGGGAATCTCTATGTTCGGAGGAATACAACGCGCGCAATCATTGGCATTGCAGTGTATCTACTAATGTTGGTTATATATGTTTTAGACAGCTCGCAAAAATACGCATAAAAGACACAAGCCACATAAAATCACTAACACAACCCAAAAAATTGAAAATATGGGCCCTACGTCTCGAGCGATGAATTCAGACCTTAGCACTTTACGCTGACCTGCATAGTTTGGGATAGGTTATCATGCGAAAGTCCATGACAAGCATTCTACTAATTTGAAGCCTCTATAGTGCATCAACGTATTATCGGTGGGTGGAGAATGGTTTGGAGCATTGAGGCGGGATGGAGTAGTTCCTGATTACACGTGCTAATCCCCTCACTCCAATGAATTGCAGCACTCAAATGCCGTTCTCAGGAGTGTGCAAGTTTCACAGACTGGATTCAATACTAGTGCTTGTTTGCTAGAGTAAGAGCAAGATGAATGAGACATCGATACATTATATGTTAGAAGAATTCTAATGAAACTAAAAAGTAAATTTAACAACGTTGTAAACCCAACTAGTGATGTGGGATACTGCAAACATAGCAAAACTCTGGTGGGAGGAGCAGGTAAAAAGATGGTTGAAAACAAGAAGGCAAATGGGCAACCAGATTAATAAATGACAAGACAAGGAAAATATTGACAGATCTTAGAAGTCAAAAGCCTTTAATGCAACGTTTTCTTCAAAAACAGTGAAAGCTTCTGGCACAATGTAACACATCATATATACACCAGAATACAAAATCAAAGACAAACGACCTAAAGAGGAAAATATTTTCCATTTGGATAATGCACTCTCCCACAAGTATGTGACTAGAATGGCCAGCATTAACGAATTGAGTTTTGAATTAATGCCTCGTTCATCGTATTCCTCTTATTTGACATGAAGCGCTTACAACCAACGTTTCCCAATCTGAAAATATGGCTCGAAGGTAAGAGATTGTCATTTAATTACGAAATAATCGCTAATGTAAATAGCTAATCCTACGTCTTGGATTCTCGATCTACAGTGAAGGCATCGCTATTTTGTAATATTGTTGGAGTAAGTGTGTAGCCACAAATACATTTGTAGAAAAGAAAAACTTGTATTTTCTTTGTTAGGTCACGTCTTTATCTACGTAATAAATTAATAGTTTGTGTTCCAAACGTTAAAAAATGTCAATACCTGTAGGGTTCTGTCATAATCCAGTTTTTGACATACAATATCAGTAAATTAAAAAATTTCTTATAACTGAAGAACTTTTAAAGGTTGTAATTTCACTGTCAAACTGTCAAAATTGTCAAATACAGGAAACCTTGGAAATAACCATGAAAGGAGACTATAAATATAATTTATCAAAAATAAGCGGTGACGTAATTTTCTTCTTCTATATCTTCCTATTGTCTTTTGCCCTCTGTGGCATACAGTCAGGATCATTCATTTTCCGTTGCTTTTGTGATAGCCTAACTATTGTACGTCTTGAATGTCTTCATACTTTTTACTTTCACTGAGTACCTTTTGATGAATAAACCATAAAAATTTGATGGATTTCCGAACTTTCCACAGTTGATAAAGGCCATTTTTTTAAGCTGCCTCTGTCAAATTGGCTGTCAATGTTGTGCCAAATTACGTCTACGAAATATAAGATCTGTCGAAAACATCGCCGCTGTTCGTGATATCAAACAATTTTTTTAAGAGCAAGAAGAAATAACGTAATCACATCATTTTTTATTGTGTTAATCCCAAAAAAAAAACGATTTTATAGACAGTGCCGCATAAATGTAGCTCGCATTTGGAACAGATGCGTATTCGATTTTGATGTAAAATATCTAATGCGGAGGGCCAGACCAGTTGCTGTCGTGACGAAGCTTCGTATACCATGCAGGCATCTTTAACTCACTCCAAAAGGTTCTGCGATCTTTCTCTTTCCCTCCCCCTCAATCTTTCGCACACACACGGACTCTCTCTCTCACTCTCTCTCTCTCGAGCGTCCAATTATGTTGAAAGTGGAAAAAAAATTATTTTACTTTAGAAAAATCAACATGGGACCAATTACATCAGTACTGGCAGTTCAAAAAAGGGCAAGTGCAGCTTGTGGAATTTCAGAACGGTCCTTGCAAAGAGTTCGCAAAATGAGTGAGGAGGAATTAAGTAAGGAAAACTAAAAAGATTCGTTTGCATCCGAAAAACCCTCGACTTGCCACAAGGTATTAAAATCTCAATCAGAAATATCATTTATGACATGTACAAAGCAAAAGAACATGTTACAAGAAAGACACTTATTTCAAAAAATAAAGGACAGCGAACTTTGTAGTATGGGTTTGACCAGTTTATCAAAAGTATTAAAAGCTATGGGTTTTAGATACAAAAAAAAACAATAATCGTAAAGTGTTGTGCGGGGCCTTCCAATGTTGTTGGAAAAAAGGTGGAAATTTATAGGAAACTATTTAAAAAACAAGAAATCCGATTTGCCAGACAATTTGTGTTTCTTGACGAAACATGGATTTTTGCGAAACGAAATAATACGAAATCATCCTGGCAAGATGATTTGGTATTATTTCGTTTCGCAAAAACTGATGATTACCACGGAAATATGGACGCCGATATTTTCGAACATTGGCTTGATGAAAAATTATTAAAAATCTGGAAAATCCGTCATTAATAGTCTTAGACAATGCTTCGTATCACACCAGAGAGGAGGAAAAGTTTCCACAAGCAGCTGGAAAAAAGAAGACTTAAGAAAGTGGCTGTCGGAGAAAAATATAGAACACGAACATCTAGTTTTAAAAGCTGAATTATTAAATAAGTGCAAAGAACACATTACTGAGAAAAAATTGTCGTTGACCATATGGCACTAAAATATGTCATGAGGTCCTAAGACTACCCACATATCACTGCCAGTACAATCCAATTGAATTGGTGTGGGGCATCACTAAAAAACTACTATGATAAACATGCATGTAAGACCACCGACGAAGCCAGCGTTTTACAACTCTGTACAACATATAATTACATTATTATAATATATTAACATATATGGCGGAAACAAGATCTGACACATCTAAAACGAGACGACTGCTAGAAACAACAGAGATGAAAATACTCCGACGAATATCAGGGAAAAGTCTGTTGGATAGGGAGAGAATGCAAAAACATAAGAAGAGCATGCTGTAACATTTTTTTTTATTATTAATATATCAAATTATTTTTAATTCCTTTTACCCCGTGCGATACGCCGATGATTAGAATCCCCGTGTTTACGATAAGAAATAATATTGTAGATACCAAGCTAAAATGGAATTCCCTAATTAAGAAAGGTTTTTAATCCTTCCGTCTTAATACTCTGTATGAAAGAACAAATGCTTTCCGGTATGCAGTTTCCTTTTCATAAATTGGTAAATTTTCGTCGAAGGCCCATATCTTTTGACAATAACTTAATCCCAAGTATTGTCTGTTTCTTATGTCCAATTGTTAATACAGATTATTTTACCTCAAACTTTCCAATAGTCGTCAAGGCCTTACCTTCTGAGAAAATACATACGACTGTCTGATGATTTTGAGTGGGGGATATAGCTTCTTCTTCTTTTTCTTGCAGTTGGTGAAATTTTCAGGGAACAATTACTTCTCGGTGGGCTCTTGTTGAGTGAGGTAATATCTCGTGTTACTTGTTGGTGGGCAGTTGTTGAGTGAGGTAATATCTCGTGAGACTTCTTGGTGGGCCGTTGTTGAGTTAAGGCCAATATCTCGTGTTACGCTTTGCTCACTTTATTTCTTATCGTATCGTCTTTGTGAATTATTTTCTAAGTGTGTATACACTTTATATTTGAGTTTTCTTTCCTTAGACTATATTAAATTATATATAGTTCTACACTACCTTTAATGGTTATTAAATTCAGTGTTTAGTACCAGAAAAGTATTAAATTCAGTGAATTAAGCTGCCTTCGTCAAGATCTACTGTAAGTAATCTTTATCTACAATTATCTGGGCGAGTAATATGGTATGGTACCATATCACCTGCCATTATCTGGACGTATCATCTATATCTTCACCTGTAGATTGCCGATTTTTGAATGTAATTAAAGAACCATTCAATAAATTTCTATAAATAATACCTATGAACATACAAGTCTCAATTTTTTATTAAATAATAGTGCGAGATAGTTAATTGACTTAACCAAGTGCGGTTTGGTTTATGTTTTCATTCCTGTAACCTTTTTGTTTTTTTTTTTTGTAAATTTAGAGTTAAGTAATTTTTGCTATCTTTTGTATTTCCTATAATTTTTGTTCATTATCTTTCCTATGATATCTCGAGATACGCCAAACTATATTTGTATATGATTGCCTTATATATCTTGGTAAAGGTATTTTTTTTATTACATTATAGCTTAATTTTATACATATATAACACCATTTCATAGTTGTGTATTTTTATTACCTGGGTTGCATTTAGCAGCATCATAATTTTGTGTTTAATATATTGTTATTGTTTTATGCATGTATTTTATTTGTCGGCTCCTAACAAGTTCCCTGATAAAATAATAGCTCTGAACAATTACTATCTTTAAATATTACTATGCTTTTGAACTGTAGAAAGATCAGGCTGATTAAGTTTCGTAGGTAAGTAAGTGTAATACTTAATATATTTATTATTTGTTTTATATATTGCGTTGACCAGATTTATTTGATAATTTACTGTTGGTATCTTTCCTTGGGTTTGATCTCTGAACCTAAATATCTTTTCTTATCTCTTTTCTTTTCTAAGGTTTTCTTAATTTTCTCCTTAACCCCAAAAAATTGAGTGGCGCCCTGTTTCTATCTTCTCTTATCTTTGGTAATTTTACCCATCTATCTTTTTGTTTATTTCTGTATCTTTTCTAATATCTCTTATCCTATCTTTACCTATTTCTTCCGTTGGATCCATTCCCGGTTCCAAAAGCTAGTTTCGAACCCACGACTCGCTCTCCACCAACCATCTGGCTGCCGTCCGCAGTGTCTCCATTGGTTATCTTTCTAGCACCACCCAAAAAGATTTCCGAGGTTACAATGCAATATAGAAGACATAAATGGATGGGTGACAAAACGGAAACAGGGGTGGAACGAACACATCAGTAGAATGACAGATGAGAAGATAGTACGAATCGCACGAGATAAGTCACCAAATGGACGAAGAAGTATTGGCAGACCAAGATAGTGCGACAATTTAAACAATTTAGGAGGCTAATATTGAAAAAGAAACAGGCTTTAAAGCCTACATACACGAAGAAAGAAAAAGAAGTACATAGATATCATATCGCAACCCTGTCTCCCGTTTTGAGGCAGTGTTGCGATGAGACTGAAGAAGGACGTCGGTGCGAAGTTGTGTCCTAACGGACGGTTCGTACCCGATGCAATACCGTTTTCCGCAGAATTTGAACCCTCTTAGCGCAAATCCGTCCATTATAAATTTTGCCATACACTTGATTGATATACTTTCTCAGTGAGAATTATGCTGTGTTCGGATCCGGGATCTTTTCGGGTCACAGACAGTGCTTTGCTTAAAGTTTCAAAAAATATAATTGTTACAGACAATAGCTCAAATGTAGTTCTAGCGTTTCGGCCTTCCTGAAGCTGTCATGTGCCTGTCACAATTTAAATTAGAAACCAACAATACAATTCCAGAATTAGCAAGTAGTAATAAATGAAACAAAACAACGACAGGACAGTAAACTACTCAAAATTATCAAATATTCAAAAGTTACCTGGGAGCGAGCTCGTCTACTTCAGGCTTCTTCTTCTTTTCCGGCGTCGCTAAATCTATGACTTCTGTAGTTGTACCATTTGGTTTTGACGTTTCGGTATCTACAATCAGTACATCTCCGTCCTCTCCCCCAGAATCGTTCAGTTCAATTGGATCGCCGTTGTTAATTTTAGATATATTATTGTCGTCATCATCATCTTCGTCTGAATCAATTTCATGAATCTCGACGACTTTCTCCTCGAACTTTTTTGTTGATGATTCTGAACTTGACGCGCTTTGTTTGCTATTTTCGTCATCATTGGTCTTTGACTCCGTATCGTCGTCTTCCGTTTGATCGTCACTGGCTTTTGTTTCTTGGCTACTCTCGTCTATTGCTGCTTCTAATTGGCTCTCGTTAGTTTCTTGTTCTTCTGAGTTTTTTACTTCTGGGGAGGACTCTTCTTCCATTGGGGTTTCCTTTTCTAATGGTTTACTTTCTTGTGGAGTCTCTTCGTCTGCTAAGGGGTTCTCCGATTCTGAGTGATTCTCGTTAATACCTTCTTCAGATGCATCGTTACTTTCTTCTGTTCCGCTTTCTTCTGGTTTCTCTTTGGTATCTAAACTGTTCTCTGTAGGTTTCTTAATGTTGTCTTCAATGTCTTGGGTTTCCATATCTACATCACTTGATAAATCACCGTTTGTAACAATGTTACCTGAAAATATACAAATTGCAAATTTTTTGTCAATATTTGCTAGTTATCACGTTACCTTCATCTTTGGAAAGCATATCCTCAACCTCGCCCATTTCAGCAACAGCTGCCATAGCCAGTCTCAGTTGAACCTGATAAAAGAAATTAATATTAATAAAACAACCATAAATACGGTAGTACGTACTTAAAAGTTTATTTAACTAAAGGAAATTACTAAATAAGGTTTTAAATTTGAACAGTTGATGGCTTGAGTCCTTGAGCATTGTAAGTTGCGTGATTATGATCTTTAGAAGGTTCCTTTATTCAGGTTCTGCTTTCAAACTTGTAAAACAGTTTTATACTTTACATGAAATTTTAATTAACAAAAGGGTGTTTGTTGTTCAGTATAACCATGAGAAAAAAGGTTTTTTCTTCAGGAAGTGCTCTAATTTTTGAGCCTATCAAGCAACCTAAATTCAGTTGGGTAAGTGCCTAACCAAAATAATAATTCAGATGCACAGAAATCTTATGCAATATTTATGTTATTGAAAATTAAGCTTCTTCTGATAATGAGCATGTACAAATGTCACACCATAAGATTCTAGAAGATTCTGATGATATTGATTAATTAGCGGTAAGTTCTAGCTATACTTGATTTTCCTATAATATTTTTCTGTCAATTCATTTACTTAATCTTCAAAATGGATAACCGACCGTATATTACAGATGATGGACGAAAGAGAATCCAAGCGGAAAGATTACGTTGCATATCAATTTCTAGACAAAGAGATAAAAAAAGCTGTCAGAGAAGCTAAAAATAGAAATCTGAGAACAATGTGAAGAAATCGAGATATTGGAACGTAAACACGATTCCTTTAACCTCCACAAAAAGATCAAAGAAGCAGCAGGCATATATAAATCAAAAAGGCCGGGATACGTAACAGACGCTCAAGGAAATCCAATAGTTGATATTGAAGAAACAAAAACAACATGGATGAACTATGTGACAACAACATTTGAAGACGATAGGAATGTCACCATCACACAAAATAAAAATGACGATACCGGACCACCTATCCTCGAAGCGGAAGTAGAAGCTGCTATAAACAACATTAAGGAGGAAAAGCCGCAGGATCAGACGAGTTCTACTCAGAATTTTTGAAAATTATGGATAAAGACGAAGTAAAAAGACTTACCTTGATCTTCAACAATATATACCAAAGTGGAAAAATACCCAACAGTGGCTAAGATCAACTTTTATAACAATCCCTACAAAACCCAATGCCAAAAAATGTGAAGATTATCAGAATAAAAAGCCTTATGAGCCATCTCCTGAAAACTTTTTTAAAAATTATACATAAAAGAATATATAAAAAGTGTGAAGAACACATGACAAACACACAATTCGGCTTCAGGGATGCATTGGGTACTCGAGAGGCACTTTTTGCAATACAAGTTCTCTTTCAAAGATGTAGAGACGTGAATGATATATATGTGTGTTTTGTTGATTACCAGAAAGCGTTCGATAGAATAAAACATGACGAACTGATGAAAATATTAAATTCAATTGGTCTAGACAGCAGAGATCGCCGTATAATAAACAATATCTATTACGAACAAACTGCAGCTGTTAGAGTTGGGGATCAGTTAACAGACGACATAAAGATAAAAAGAGGTGTGCGACAGGGATGTATATTGTCCCATTATTGTTCAATACATATTCAGAGCACATTATGAACCTAGCGCTAACGGACATAGACGAGGGAATACTTATAAACGGAGAACGATTGAACAACATAAGATACGCTGATGATACTGTCATTTTTGCAGACAGTCTTGAAGGTCTGCAGACACTTGTCTCCAGGGTGGCAGAAGTAAGTAGCAGGTTTGGGCTTGATTTTAACATCAAAAAAACCAAATACATGGTTATAAGCAAAAATAGGATACCACCTGGTCAATTACTAGTTAACCAACAACTATAACACAAATCACCAACTTTGTTATCTGGGTGCAAACTTAAATGAACAGTGGGACCAATCGACGGAAATTAAGATAAGGATCGAGAAGGCAAGATCAGCTTTCGTCAAAATGAAAAAAATCTTTAACAGCCACGATATAAAATTGGAAATAAAAGTTCGTTTACTAAAATGCTACGTATTCTCCGTTCTTTTATATGGCGTGGAGTCATGGACCTTAACTGAAGCATCACTGAAGAGACTCGAAGCATTTGAGATGTGGTGCTATAGACGCATGTTGAGGATTTCCTGGATAGACAGAGTTACCAACGAAGAAGTACTACATAGAATGGGTAAAGAGCGCGAACTAGTCGTAACCATAAAACGTCGCAAACTGGAATACCTGGGCCATATAATGCGCAATGAACAACGATATGACCTACTTCGGACCATACTTCAAGGTAAAGTGCATGGGAAAAGAGGTCCAGGACGAAGAAGAATATCCTGGCTGCATAACCTGCGAAATGGTTTATACTTAACCACTACCGGACTTTTCAGGGCAGCAGTCAACAAAGTCAGAATAGCCATGTTAGTGTCCAACATCCGTAACGGATAGGCACCATAAGAAGAATCTTTAAAGTTTCCTGAAAAAGTAGTAAATTTTTACTTATGATATGAGGTTTTGATATTTAACTGTCATATGTTTATTATGAGTAACTTTAACGACTGTGTTGGTGAGACATAGTACCAGGGATAAAACAAAAATTATAATGAGGATGTCAGAAATGTGAAATGAGATCTTCTGGTGGACTTCTGGAACACAAATGAATTATGCCTTAAATAACACTTTATGGCATTATTGGCACACATTAACATTGAAATAAAATCAAGAAAATGCAAGGCCAGTATCATACCAATAATAACACACCGTAAAACGGGATGAAAAGAAACTGGAGGGCGAACAGAAACTAAATGACTATTCACCCTTTAAAATAAACAAAAAACAATTGAATGTTGTTTTGTAAAAATATAACCCCAATTCTGTTTCTATTGACCCGAAGTTTCTAATCCACTCGCCGTTTTCTTTTCAGCCACTGTTGTGTTTCCACTCACCGCTTTCTTTTTTTCTTCGGTATTTTTTATTTTGCTTCTCAGATTAATCCATGCCACGAGACTACATAATCCAAGGTCCAAGTTTTACAAAAAAAACCAAACGTGAGGCTCTTGAAAGCGCCTTACACGACATAAGAAATTATATGTCCTACCGGGAGGCAAGCAAAGTACATGAAATTAATATTCAGTGCTCTATTGGGGACCGTGCAAGTTCGAAACAGCGACACCTGGTGTCGTAAATCAGCAAAATTTACTGCGCTTTCATGTTAGATCGAGGTTACCGGATAACTGTCAAGGACGTAGCCCCAAAAAAGAATAAGAAGAAAAAGTAAGATTGAGGTTATGTCGGTATGTTATTAAAAGGTAAACGTTGTATGTAGTGTAAATACAAATAAATATATTATTAAATTACAGCATTACTGTTAATATGGATGCAATAATAAAAACTGGATTTGAGAAAGTAAATCACCAAATAACTTTTCAACCAAGCACTGAGTCAAAGGGAAAAGCTTTAGTAGTGGCAAATGTCAAAAAAGAATGGAAGAATTATGTGGAAGAATTAAGAAAAATAAATTACCATAAATAATGCTAAGGCATAAATTAGCAGGTTAAGCCCATGATATCATCATATTGGTTTGAACAATTAATTCTTTCCTGTAAACTTTTGGACAGCGAATATATCTTAATGCATCTTCAGAAAAACTTGAACTTGATGCATTTTTGTAAACTTCAAAAAAATAAAATTTAAACATTAAACTTGATTTTTGGGTTAAAATGAACTCTAAGTGAGTGTTATGAAACTAAAATTTACACTTAAAAGTGAACTTTTATTTATTATATATTTCAAACTGACTTTAAAATCGGGCGCAAGAATAATGCATAATTTAGGTTATGTTACTTATGCTTTTTTATGATATAAATCCACTTTTCTCTTTGTAGTAGCTTTGTGCTTCGAAGTTGGAAACGAATAAAACTTAAATTGACAATTTTTTGTTGTATTTTTATAATTTATAACACAGCATTTCCTAAATCCCATTTTCTTCAGTGACAGAAAGTTAAATAAACAAACGAATATGAAATATGACAATTGACAATATGAATTTATGAAATCTATGAAATGTGCAGTAAAAAATGCAAGATTTCTCCGCTACTCGCGCACGATCGTTTCTCGTATCCCCTCCAAGTACTTGCACGTGGCCAATAGATACTATAAAAGCCCTAACTTAATTAAAAACACCAGGAGGACAAACTACACTAACAAAGTTGGAAGAGGAAATTATACTAAAACAATTGATAACCTGTGCTGATTTGAGCTATCCCTTAGATAAATACGATGTTAGAGTAAATGGTAAATAACATACTAAATAGTCGGGGTTAAAAATGTACATAAGTTTAACAACACCTTACCAGGAAAATATTTTGTACATGGGTTTTTGAAGCGACATAAGACACGACTACGAACACGATTTCACTCGATACTTTAAATGTTAATTTTGAGCACTGGATGCAGAATTAGAAGGTATACCGTCGTTCTTATATTGTAAACTTCGATGAGACGAATTTATCTGACGATTCCGGGAGGAAACGAGGATGCCGTTACCCCGAACAAGTGTGCAACTCTTCCAAATGCAGCACGTCTGTCATGTTTGCGGCAACTGCTGATGGCAAAGGTGCTACCTCCGTATATCGTGTATAAGACTCAAAACATGTACGGAATTATGGACAGTTGCTGGGTAAAAAGTGCGAGATACAATTGTGAGCCCTAGCGGCTGGTTTGAATGCTATAAGCTTCGGTGATTGGGTCACCAAACTAGCAATTCCAGTACTTAGGTACTTGCCAGGAAAAAAAATTCTAATCGGCGACAACCTCTCAAGCCATTTTTAGTTGCAAAACTGTAACCGAGTGCTTAGGAACACGTTATCTCGTTCATTTTTTTTGCCGTCAAATTCTACACATATGAATCAGCCTCTTGATGTGGCTTTTTTCGCCCTTTAAAAGAAGCATGGCGAAAAATTCTTGAAAAGTGGAAAATGGGTGAAGGAAGAAGGGCAGCTACCATACCCAAAAATCGCTTTACTCACTT